CGATGACGGTTCGAGATCGATCTCGTTTTATGATTGTGCACGCAGCGAACAACAGCGTCGCGGTCGGAACATGATAGAAAAGAGATTCCGGGAGGCGACATAGAAAGCAGGAAGGATCTCTGCATACTCCGGCCATAAATGGGAATGAAAACGGGAGCGGAATACGATCGCATGCGATGATAGAGTCGACGCGATTTGCTACCGGCGTCGTTGCGAAGTATCCGAGCGTGAAGTATCGCGCGATTAATTCAATTACTTCGTCGTCGGATCATGCACAATGGAATCGGGGCGACGTATCTCCGCTGCGTTTTGACTCCGAGCGACGCGCGCGGATTAATTACGGTGAAATTGAAGCGTGAAAGGGAATTAACGCCTCCCCGGACGGTCGTTCGGAATTATCGCACGCAAGCCGATGGTGTTTTACGATGTTTACACAGGAGTTTAGATGGAACGATAATGCGGGGTTTCGCGCCGGACGATGTGGAAATGTTTATTCATGAATTTTGATTCATTGAGGCTCTGCGGCTGCGGAGATTTGAAGATTGAAAGGGTTTGAGGTTTTGAAGATTTGGAATTTTGAAGATTTGTAGGTTTGGAGATTTGAAGATTTGAAGGTTTGGAGATTTGAAGGTTTGGAGATTTGAAGATTTGAAGGTTTGGAGATTTGAAGATTTGAAGATTTGAAGATTTGAAGATTTGAAGGTTTGGAGATTTGGAGATTTGGAAATTTGGAGATTTGGGAATTTGGAAATTTGGAGATTTGGAGATTTGGAGATTTGGAAATTTGGAAATTTGAAGATTTGGAAATTTGGAAATTTGGAGATTTGAAGATTTGAAGATTTAGAAATTTAGAGATTTGAAGATTTGGAAATTTAAAAATTTGGAGATTTGAATATTTGAAGATTTAGAAATTTAGAGATTCGGAGATTTGGAGATTTGAGAATTTGAAGATTTGGAGATTTGAGAATTTGAAGATTTGAAAATTTGGAATTTTTAAAGATTTGAAGATTTAAAAATTCGAAGATTTGATGTATTAAAGATTTGAAAATTTGAAGTATTGAAGATTTGAAGATCTAAAAATTCGAAGATTTGAAGATTTGAAGTATTAAAGATTTGAAGATCTAAAGATTCGAAGATTTGAAGATTTGAGGATTTGGAGATCTAAAGATTGGAAGATTTGAAGATTCGAGGATTTGACGATTTGAAGACGTAAAGATGTGAAAGTTCGAAGATTAAAATTTGAAGCATTACAAAATTCACTAATTAGTGATTAATTTATAATTTCGATTGCTCCCAGTTCCTTTAAAAGTATGCACTTTAAAGCATTCAATTGAATGCCTACACGATAACATTATCAGCAATGAAAATCAAATCTTTCGCTGCGTCACTAATGACAGTCATTTCTCTTTTACGGCCACCTTTAACCTTTCAGTCATAAATTTATAAACTAGCCTCCGGAGAAAAATGCAGAGTCTCGAATTCCATCGAGCAAGAAGGAAGCTTATCGCTGCAAACTGAGGCATTGCAAAATTCCATCTACACTTCATTGCACGAACGAATGCATAAACAATCCGATAATTTATTCCGACCGGTGTTATCGTACTTTAACACTAGAACTACCGAGCATTTAATACGCTTGATATGTAATCTCTATAAAAATTGTAACAATAGATTATTTTCGGTTTCTTCAGATGTTCATTATATTATTCCAGTGAAACTATTCATTTTCAAAATCACTTGGAATATTCATTGCTTTGAAGATATCAATAATTGCGAAACAAAGAAACCAGTCATCTTGACTGGCACGGTAGTTCTAGTGTTAATTTCTCTTTCATATTCGCAATACATATTAAATGACCCCTGATAGTTCATCTGCATAATCAAAATAGAAAGAACACTTCCTTTCTACTTCATTCCTGTGCAACTATCGTAAACATTCAATAATATACAAAATACTCAAAAGTTGCAAAGCCTAATAAACAATAACAAAAAAAAATAAATAGATACATAAATCATAATAAAAAACAATCATTACAAGACAATCATCGTTATATAACGCTATAATACTCCCTGCCACGATACCATAACATAATAATACAATACTAACAATTACAATAATAATACTAACTTCACATCTAAATCGAAAATTTTCTTTATATTATACATTATCGATGATAACTGCATACATCAGTACAATTATGCGCACGTCCAATTGAGTGAGACAGATTAATTTCTTCATTCAAATAAGGTGATTGAAAGTTCGCTTTATAAATCGTGACTGAAAGCCGCGAGGAATTTTATCCCGAGGCGTTCCACGGTAATCAGAAATCAATTCATTCACAAACCCCGGCTGCCGCGATTCTTCTGACACAACGTGGCATTCACGGGGAGCCAGGAAAAAAAGCGAACGGAACCGATTCCCGTAATCAATCACCGCGATAAATCAATTCTTCAGCGGGAATACCGCTCGTCATCCTGCGCCGATTCCCTGCATACCAAACACCCGAGGCGGAAGAATGGCGAACGGCGAAGGACTATTCATCCTCTTCCGTTCGGCGAACATCCGAGGGTCATCGGAATAGCCCATCGATGATGGGAAATAAATTAACGGGAATGGCGCGTTGCTCGGATCAATTCGAAATGCAGACTTAACGCTGCGAGTGCTGAATATATCAGCTTTTGAACTCTGTAGGTTCTAATATTATTGAAAACTGTTGTGATATTCAATGTTTTAATGAATGCTACAAACTACTCTAAGATTATTAAATTTTGTATTGAGAAGGGAAATAAAAGATTTAAGAAATGTAACGTTAATTTCCACTAGGATTACTATAAAAATTGATAGGAGTTGCTGAGAGATCACAAAACCATCTGTAGGTTCTAATATTATTGAAAACTGTTCTAATATTCTATGTTTTAATGAATTCTACAAACTACCCTAAGATTATTAAATTTTTTATTCTGAAGGGAAGTAAAGGATTTAAGAAATGTAACGTTAATTTGCACTAGGATTACTATAAAAATTGGTAGAAGTTGCTGACACATCACAAAACCATCTGGAGTGCTAAGGATTAACAATAAAATTAACTTAATTTGGTTTCAATATTGGCACAATGTCATGGGAGGAGTATAAATACAACTATTATGTGAACAGAGCATTAGGGTTAAGCGATCCCTCTATATCATCGTCGAGGATATTACCAAGCTCGCCCGAGTGCATGCCGGTAGGGATGGGACTAAGTGTCGTGTGCGTCCACGAATTCGAATCAGTTTTAATTTAACTTCCCAATTTAACCCTAAATTTAACCCTTCCCGACGAAGATTCTTCGAAATATAGAAAAGCTTCAGCAGATGAAGCTGAATTACCTGTCAATTGCTTAATTAATATAAAAAAAGGAAGCTACGTGCTGATCCCTTGCTGTTTGAGCAATTAAATTATTTGCTCGCGACTTAGTCTTCCAAATACGAAAATTTCATCTCGCTGATACGTCGACATTCGTCCGCAAAGAGTTAAATTAAGTTAATTAAGAGTTTTTACTTCGCTAATTACCAGAGTATTGAAAAAATATAAAATTTAATTCGAATCGATTATCTATTTAACCCTTTGCGGAGGAATGTCGACATTTCGGCCAGATGAAACGTTCATATTTGGAAGATCATGTTGCAAACAAATGATTTAATTACTCGGGCAGCATGAGATTAACATGTATTTCCTGTTATTGATATTATTTAAGCAATTAGTGTATAATTTAGCTTCATCTGTTGAATGTTTTGTACATTTCAAAGAATCTTCGTCCGAAAAGTGTTATCCGCACAATTTAGTTTTTTTCAGTACATTTCTCCGTTATCATTCTTTTTCCTTTATTCCATTACTTTGTTTCACACGTTCGGTATACGATGTATCTCTTCATTCCTTGTGTATATCGATAAACGAGAATTCACAAAACTTTGTGACTTCTAAATCATCGAAAAGTAACTACGATAGTGATATCTCCCGAACGAAATTGATACAAAGAAGAGACCAACTCACCACTTTCACTGCCAAGCGAACACTCGTGAAAACTATGCAGTCGAAACAGTTTCCTTAAGCAGAAACCAAAGAGTCAAGATCCTTCGTAATTGCTCCATCTAATATTTCATACATTCAACAAAATTCGTTCAACGCGAAGAACATTAATATTCAAGTTTACATAACAAACAATATCGCCCAAATTTGAATGACATCGAAGTGTTAATACAAGTCAGGCCAATATGCAAAGGGAGAATCTCTCGCGAATTTCAAACGTGAAACCACAGAATACTTTAACACATTAACTTGTCCCAAATTCGGGTGCCATTTTTAACATAAACATTCACTTCTTTAACGTATCAAACGAACCGAGTTTAATCAGATATATAAAATATATAAAAGATAAAACAATCGTTACGAAGAATCTCAATCTTAGTTCCCATTTCCTCAAACTTTCGCACAGAAGTTCCAATAAGCATTTACTTACCAAAATGTTAACATTACAGAAGCTTCTAAATATAACCAGATATGTAATCAGATACATAAAACATAAAAAACATAAAACAATCGTTACGAAGAATCTCAATCTTAGTTCCCATTTCCTCAAACTCTCGCGCAGAAGTTCCAATAAGCATTTACTTACCAAAATGTTAACATTACAGAAGCTTCTAAATATAACCAGATATATAATCAGATACATAAAATACAAAAAAGATAAAACAATCGTTCTGAAGAATCTCAATCTCAGTTCCCATTTCCTCAAACTCTCGCGCAGAAGTTCCCCTAAGCGTTCGCTCGCCAAAGTGTCAACGACTTCGAGTCTCCTATTCACGAAAACGGGTCCTACGGTCCCTTATTCGATCAAGGGTGAGCAAACCGTCGATTTATCATCGCAGGTGACCAACGGACACGCGCAGCCGCGGCGGCAAACGGCTAGGGGGTACGAGGTGGCCCCGGTGTCGCATTTTCGAAGTGTCAGTGAGCGGTTCGAAACTGTCCAGGCCGGCGCGCGTTTTATCCACGGAGCAGCCGCACGGTGCACCGCTTGATCCCATCTCTACCCGATAGAAGAAAACCAGGTGTGTTCTCCAGGGAGGCCTTCCTATGCGGCAGAGATCGTACCTGCCGGAAGAGTGGGGAGCTCATATAAGACACGAAGCCAAACGCCTCTCCCAGTGACCAGTCTCGACACGAAAACTCATCAGCCTGAGCTTCTTCGGGTCTCGTTAAACAGTCGCTTTTCACATTACGCCGTCACTTGCGGACGGTCGTCGAAGGAAACCAGAAAGACCGAATCCCGGATCGTACACGACGCAGAAACGCTACGATAAACACCGAATCGCTCGACTCCGAACCACGAGAACCGAGATCGAGCCACGAGATAAACTGAATTATTCGATATTAATCGAGATAGGATTGGAACCGACTGCAAGGTAGAGGCTAGATCCAACGAAGACCAGAGAGAGAGAGAGAGAGAGAGGTGTTCATAAAGAAATCGCCACTCGAACCTCCGTGCAACAGCTATGGTGTCTTCGACGCATCTTCAGCTTCTTCTGGTGTTCCTCGCTGCGCACGGTGAGTTTTAACGCTCGTATTTTCTTCTTTCGTCCCTTGGTTTTTCTTTGATTGTTCTCGTGCTGCCGGGATCGTCTCTTTTCGTTCGCGGGACGTCCGCGTCCTCGCGATCCTTTTTTTCCGCACGATGACCCGCGACGGTTACGACTTGTTCAGCGTCTCCGCGCGATCGACGGCGTCGTTTCCGCGCGGGTGATTAAACGCGGACGTAAACCGAGAATTTGTTTTATCCTCCGCTGGCTCGGCTGCATAAATTAAACGGTTTTATCGGTGGATGGCTCATTGCTGGGCGAACGGGTCGTCGGCATTCCGGTTCTACTGCTCTTGAGATGAATTGTTTTTGCAATAAAATTTGGGCGAGGGAATGTCGAGTTCCAGTTGTTTATTTCTCGTTGATTTAGTTTGCTGTCGACGGGAATGTAAAGTCTGGGTTAGATGCTGGAGGATGTTTAACAAATGTGCTTTTGTTATTGTCAATCGAGTGTTGGTTGAATATTTGAGCTCGTTTGGAATCGATGCTTGAGAGAAGAGCTGAATCTTTCGGTTCTGTTTAGGAATGATAAAGAGCAGAGGAATGTTGTATTTGTTCTGAATCAACTTTCATCGTTTGATTATACTAATTTTTATATATTCTTAATGTACAATTCGGATGGATAAAGGTTTCAGTATTTATACGGCAAAGTATATTACTGGAAGATATTTGTACTGGGCGTAATGAAATCATTTGACTAACTGATGCTGCATTAACACTAGGACTACCGAGCACTGAAATTTTCGAAACTTCTCTGTAGAAACTTCGAGAGTGCATCTATCGAGGCTTTAATTGCTTCATGATCCAATTTGCATATTGCCAGATCAATTAACACTAGATCTACGGAACCCGTCAATCTGACGGATATTGAATTTTTTAAACATTTAGTAACAGTTTAATACTCTGCAATACTCTGGCTTTGAAGTTGCAATTTTCGCGATATATAGACGAACACGTTTTCTAGGAACAATAGAATAAAGTTAGGAATAAACGTCCGTGTTAATTCTTTAATTCTCACGAAAAGATAAAATCTAGAAAGGGTCATTTTGACCTGTTCGATAGTTCTAGTGTTAGATCGCAGCAAGTGTCCTCTATTTTCAACGAAATTCTATCGAACGATCGGCCGATTTTTTCTTCTTTTTTCTAATAGTCAATCGAGTTAGCAGTGGTAGAGATCGGGTACAGTGATCGGCAAGTGCAAGTGAAAACGGACTTTCTGTGATCAGACTAGCGCGTTTCTTGCAGCCGGCTGAATATCTGAAAAGTGCGCGCCGGCCTACTTTCGCGAAACCAGTAGCGTCCCGGTGATCTCGTGTTCCACGGTGATGCTTCAATTAACGGCCGAAACTCGTCCACCGTGGAATCGAGGGTGATTCACGGCTGGCCGGTGGAATTAGCCGTCCACCGATCGATTCGCGCCGAATATCTTATTAACCGGCCGCTATTGGTACACGCGTTTTCACTCGACGACGACCACGGAGAAATTCATTTCACTTTCTCGAACGGAATCGATAAATCACGTCGCAGTTTCATTACTGTTTTGGAACACCGACTTTTATTCGAATATATATACGGATCTTTAATAGAATTTGCATTCCATGTTACATTTGAATTGATGAATTTTTACTTGAGTTTTATTTGTGGCTGCTTAATGTTTATTGAATTTCCGATAGACATCGAACGAAGAGTTTCCGTGTTTGATTGAAGTTTAAATCATTCTAATTGGGATTTTAATTATTATAGAAGATCGAACTTTTGTTTGTTCATCGTGTGATTAATTTGAGTCAGTATCGTTTAGAAAAATTAGTGTTTATTCAGGTTTGTAGTTTACTGTGTCAAGCATAAAAATTATTAACGAAAGTCGTTTTGAATAAGAAACTAATTGAAATTTATGACTCCATTAGTGTCTCGAAAAAACGAGGAACAAGATAAACAAGTTGGTCAAACCTTCCTCGAAAATGTTGATCAACAAGTTGATCAAACCAAACTCCGCGATAATTACCTCATAATATCCTCACATATACACGGTATGCTAATTCGACGCAGCAATTCAAGATTACGAGCCATTAAAGAAAGCACATCGAAATACAGAAATGAAATCTTTTTCATCGTGTCTCTCGATGAATACACGTGACGCAATGGCTGCCTCCGAACACTAATTAATCGTTCCAAATAATCACCGTCAAAAGAACTATCTCAAGAAATCATCCCAGAGGGAACTCCAAAAAACAGTGAAAAAATCAAAACTACCAGACGAGTCAAAGTGACTCATTCCTGATTTCTTCCTTTGCAATTATTACAAAGATAACTGCTTCTCAATAGTCATCAAAGAAGTTAATTCAACAATACACAAACTGTGAATCAATTCAAGCCTCAATAAATACAATCTTGTAATTTCCATAGAGAAATTTCAAAAAGTCAATTCAACTGCTATATTTCTACTGTTAACACATTGCGCACTGTCAACGAGAAATCTCGTTTTCACATAGACACTTAGCTATGCAATTTCGCTAATTACTACAGTACTTAGAAAAATATGAAATTTTATTCAAACTGACTATCTATTTAAAATACATTACATAACAATATGAAAATTTCCATCCGAACAATTCAGTTTTCTGAAAAGTAGCCGGTGATTAACCGTGATTAACCCTTTGCGGACGAAGATTCTTCAGAGAACACGAAACCTTCAACAGATTCGGCCAAATTACGTAACGAATTCTTAAATAATAGAGAAAAAGGAATCTATGCACTGATTCCTTGCTATTCGAGTTATTAAATCATTCGTTGGTAACTCAGTATTCGAAATAAGCAAATTTCATCTCGGCAAAGCGTCGAGATTCACAATTAACGATCAACTTCGAAAATTAGTTTCAAAGAAAAACCAGTGTCAAACCAGACCGAATCGCGCGAGTACACATACGAACCTGCTCGACGATCAACGGAGAATGACGATTTCAATTGCGGCTGGTGAAAATTGAACATTCGTCGACCGTCCGTTCATTATTCGTCGGCTGCAATCGTCCTCGCCAGTTTCGTCTGGTCATTCAGTCGACGATGCTCCGGGTGTGCGTCCCTTCTCCTTTCTTCTCCTCATTACACAATCTTCATTAACGTTCGACAAGGTGGTTCGTAACTTCGAAGAATGACCCCCACCGCCGCGGTTATTACACACGGTCCCTTCGTGAGACAATGACGGCCATTCACCGGGTTTCACGCATCTCGAGAACTTTCTCCCGTGTCTCGGGAGTGAAAATATGAAAGTAGCTCAGCAGACGGATCTCTCTTTCTCTCTCCGACTGTCTCTCCCT